GAAGAAGTACACTCCAGATCCTGCGGAAACCATTCCGGTGGGAGATCCCTCGCAATAAAAATCAAGCGTCACGGATATTTCTGGCCGACAATGGTAAAAGACTGCGAGGATTTTTCACGAAAATGTGAAAATTTCCAAAGACATGCCCCAACTATCCATCAACCAGCGGACGTTTTCTCATCCGTCTCAGCACCGTATCCGTTCATCCGATGGTCAATGGATATAGTCGGATCGATGCACGGTGTCTGTGTTGCAAGGATCCCATGTATACTTGTTATCTGACCATTTTTTCGCACCATTCTAGATTTTATGATTACAGATAGTACTAAAGATGCTAAAGTGGGTCAACCAATCAGCTATTCACACTTGCTTAGATTGTTTGAAGGAACCAAAACTACCTCCAACACTAAACCTGACACAACTGCTTGTCTTGAGGCCTGGTATACATGGGATCGGATTCTTAAAACAAGTCTGGAAGGTAAAGCCTTGTGTAGATTTATCACCTTTTCTCTCTCTATTTTCGATCCTAGATAGTCTAGTAGATTTTTTTTTTATTTAATTAAAAAACAAAAAAAATCCAAAAATAATACTAAGTTGATTAGGTTTTTAAATAGGAGGAATCATAACAAGACTTGGCGGCTACAACCATTAAGGCTTGTTTCATGATTCCAATAAAGATTTCGAATGGGACTTGGTGGCAAAAACCATTAAGGCTCACTTCATATGAATTCTTGGATATAGGTCAAAAAGAAGTGATCAGGACTTGGTGGCTAAAACCATTAAGGCTTGTTTAATGGAAGCCTGTCCAATCTTGATCAATAATCTTGCCTTAGAAGCAGATTTTGACTCAACAGAGAACTTAGAAGAGAGAAAAAATAGGAACTAACTTTTACTTGCAGATCCAGATACTTGTTTGAGGTTCCTTCATCCTTTAATCGATACTCCCAAGGTAAAGCCTGCACTTTTATTTTAAGAAATGAGGTTAGTTGAGGGGAATGTCATATAGTATTTGGTAAGTAGTTGGCTAGATGAACCTGGTTGCTAAGCTATGATATTACATAATGAACTTATGTGATTAGAATGTCTTAAATGTGGATTGTAGTATTATAGATGTCATGATTTCAAAGTTTTAAAATATGTGAGTCCCTATTCTTTTCAAACCTCTTTCAGAGAGATTGTATGTTTGTTTTGCTTGAGGACAAGCAAAAAAGTAAGTTTGGGGGGAGTCGATATACCATGATTTTGACCTGTTTTTATTCATTGTATACTGGTGTTTTTACTACTATTTACTATATAATAGAAGCTTTTAAGCATATTTATGAGTTTAGGAGTATTTTGGAAGAAAGTGATGTTTTGGAGCATTTTGGAGAAAATTGGAAGAAGCGTTCGACTTGGAATCGTTCACGAGGTCGGCACGGAGCGACTCGGATCGATCGACATGCACCTTGCATGATCGATCGATTATCAAGACACATAAGTCAATTCACGAGACAAGTTGACTTGAAGTCCAACCATCACCAAATGACGATTTTACCCCTGACGAGTTTTAACCTAAGTTTATATACTCTGCCAAAGTGTTAGAGGTAGGGAGTGAGTTTTTTGTATTCTTTTCACAACAAAGAGTTTTGGGGTTTATAGTTTGGAGAGAAGATCACCAGAGAGATTTGTGATTGGAATTTTAGTGTTTTCTACCTATCTATTTATCTATAATATGCAGATTTATTTATTTGCTTGTGTTATGAACTGCTTAGCTATGTCTGAGTAGTTTACTTGTTAGATTTAGGGTTTAAATAGGTTAGAGGGATTAGCCCCAACTTTAGGGTTGCTACTTAAGGTACTCATTAATAGGATGTTCTTAATGCTCATGGTTCTAGGGTAGCTAATTAGAAACATTGAATCTTGGATTACTTATGTTGGATTAGAGACATTTAAGCAATTCTGATAATCATGAACACATCCCTATTAAGCTAGGATTGTTTGAAAAATAACGATAGTTTATCTAGAAGTCTTTAGTGAGTTTAGGTTAACTTGCGTTTAATGATTGACCGAACTCATCGATTGATATTTCGACTGGACATTGATCGATGATGAGTTTAGTGTATCGACCGATGTTCCTATTGAATAATAATCGTTCGACACTGTGAAGTACGACTAGCCGGTCATAAGACTTATTTATAATCAAATGATAGTTTAATAAATTTGTTATTTAAGATAATTAATGCTCTATAGTACCTTGCAAGCAACTGAATAGCTCCTATAGGATTATAATCTCAATACCTGAATAAAACCCTAAGTCTAGCGCTTTTCCATTTTATTTTCAAGAAGCTTTATTTTTATTTTCGATTACGTAATTGTCTTGCTTAATTGGAATATTTCTTGTTTACTTATTTATTGCTTTCACTATTTATATTCACCTAGATTAGTATTTGACTATATTTATTAGGTTCCGTAGCTCCTTGTAGATTCAATACCCTGAGTACTTCAATAGATCTCTTATTTTTAGAGAATAAGTTACTCCTTAGGATAAACATTTGAGCATACATCAAATCCTCAAAGGTGAACTCCTACAAATGCTATGGTGAGATTGTGACAATTGAGAGGAGTCTTGATGCATTGGCTTGCAACTTAGACCCGGATTTGAAGTTGAAAGCTGAAGACATGTTGCAGAAGTTCTTGAAGTATTGGGATGGCATGAAAAATGTGAACAGGATGTTGATTATTGCAGCAGTAATCAATCCCAAGAAGAAGATGACTTACCCAAGCTTCTGTCTTGAGAAAATGTATGGAAAAGACAATATAGAAGCCAAACAAATGAGTGACTCTGTGCTTGATCTCCTTACAAGCATGTTCAACGAGTATGCTAGCTAGTTCAAAGGGGCTAATAGCGAATCATCTCAGGCGAAGCAGACTGAGACTGTGGCTGTTCAGGAGAGTCAGGATCATTTGGACAGGCTAAAGTTGGTTGTTGAAGACTTTGGGTATTTGAAAATGGACTTCGAGTACAAGAATCTTGTTGTTGATTCAGGAAATGAGCTAAAGGATGAGCTGGAGATATACTTAAAGGAACATGTTGAGAATCAGAAGCTTATGATGGGATTCGAGTTTGACATACTCGGTTGGTGGAAGGTCCACAAAATCAAGTATCTTGTGCTAGCAGAGATGGCTAGGGATTTACTTGCGATTCAGGTTCATTACTTTTGTTCTTCCATTGCTAGTGATTGTTTTCTTAGAGTGCTTAGCTGACTTGAGGATTTACTTGTGATGCAGGTTTCATTAGTGGCTTCAGAAAGTGCTTTTAGCACAAGAGGCAGAATCTTGGAACCATATATGAGCTGTTTAACCCATTACTTGATAGAGGTTCTGATGTGCAGTGAGCAGTGGCTGAAAACTGATACTAAATTCTCTCAGAAAGTCCAAAAAATGAGCAGATTTTAGCTGAAGTTGAGCAGCTAGACAAGCTTGAGAAAGGTATGTTTTATTTATTTTAGTTTCTCTTAACATTTCATTTGATTGTTGGTGTACTTACCAAAGCTTTTGTTTGTTGCTTCATAGTTTGTGAGTGTGAGAATTGAAGACTGAAGATTGCTTTGGAATTTCGAAGTCTTTTTGTTTCTGTTTTGGTGTTGGCTTTACTCTTTATTTCAAATTTGATCTCATTAGAGATGTACTCTGTTTCGAGTGTTGCTTTTAAGGTTTATTATGAATAAGTTTTCTTTCTTTTGAAGTTTAATAAAGGTTCTTTTATGTTTTATTTTCACTGTTGCATCCGTTCCGTTGAGTATTTGTTCTAGTCTTATAGTTGTGTTTCTGTAATGCATGTTTTGATTGAGTTTTCGAAGTGTGTTTCAGTTTTGTGTCCTTTGTATTGTATTTATATTTGAGCAATCACGAGTCAGTGTTTCATGAAAAAAGATAACAGGTTCATATTTTCGCGTAGTAATAGGGTATTTCGGGTAATATGAGTAATTTGGATAACCGAAACCCGTTTTAGAACCGAACCCGAAAATTAATGGGTTTAACCGGGTTTAGGATGTGCTACAGAATCCGACCTGGACCCGACAAAACCCGAATCGAGACCGAACCGAACTTTTATAATATCCGATTGGGGCTGATTTTTGTAAAACCGAAAAAACAAAACCCGATTAGAACCGACCTAAACCTGAAGGGTCCCCCGATTGCCCATGCCTATATTAAACTATACAATATAGATCATAATAAGATTTTTACAGATTAAAAAACATGTAAAGATAGTTAGAATTTAAGAAAATTGCAAACTGTATTTCTAAACAAAATAGAACACTTTTATTAAAGTCAAAGAGAATGGAACATGATAAAATAGTATAGTAACAAAATAGAATGCATAACAAAATATGAAAAAAACACATTGTTTAGATTTCTATTCTATATGCATATAATAGAATAGAATACAATAACAAAAACTGTTCATCTTCAGATAAGTACATGTTCTGATGTTTGTACATGTTCCGATGTCTTCGCTACTGTCGCTTTGGAACCTGAGAAGCCTCTTCTTTCCGTCACCGACAAAGCCTCCTAAACATGTCTTCTTTGCAAAAAAATTCGGAAACGTAGTCGGACGTCTTCATAGCTCAAATCTGTTTTGGAGAAATCTATTTACTTTTTTAAATATTAGCTATAAGAAAATTATTTTGTGAGTGTATGTAGCAAGAAAGAGTCACGTTTTATGTTTCACAATCAATAACAATTAATTTAGTTTTTGTCTCTTTGCAGATTGCACCAGTGAAAAAAATAGTTAATATAATATTATTATATAAATATAACGGTGTATAAAGAAATATTAGAGATATTGGTTACTTGATGAATTAGTCTTATTTTTTCATGTCATACAGACCAATTTTCCTAATTTTAAATACAAAGTTATAGGGTTTGATTGTCCGTCAAAACTGTCGCTTGTAATATATATACATATGAAAACCAAGGCCGTCACCAAAAATACAGTATACAAGAAATAAATAAAAAAATAAAAAAGAAGAAAAGTGGAACATCATAAAGCAAATGATTGATGGCATATAATTCAACAACAAGGTAAATGATACGATTGTAATTATCAAATCATCACTTTTTCTTTTCAACTATTTTTTTCTAAAACAATGTGCTTTGATAAGACAAAAAGCTATGTAGGAACCGATTCTTGTTACTAAATTTTCTTCGTCTCCTCTACAGTCTCTTGTCGTTCAACCTAACGAAAGAAAAAACGGATTCACTTGTTTCTGATATACTTTATTTTATACTGACAACAGCAATTCATAGAAGATAGTGGGTCTTCTCACCTCTGTCTCGAATGGTATAGCCTACGGTTGGGTATGAACGTCTGAGGGTCGATAGTAACCTAAAGTATTATCATATTTTCATCTAAAGATTATCACTATACTCTTCCCTGTAGTGAAAAAAATATCGCTTTCGATAGTTGATATCGGATATTGTTTTTGAAAAAGTTGATATCGGATATAGCTGATTTGCATTTCCCTTTCAGAATTTTATTTAGAAAAGAGACGTTTTGTATGGAGGAAAGAGATCTAACAAGTATTGTCATTCACTATTGTACAAATAGCTAGGGTCTTTCGGTTAATGCTCCAAATAATTAAACTATCATTAAATAAACCGAATGGATCAAGGATCTATATGCTCCTACTAGTTTGTGAAGGATCAACATAGGTACATAATGTAAACGATTAACGAATAATAGTATCTCTTCTTTACAACTCTATTCAGAACTTAAAATATGGAGGAAGCAATATAAATGGACAAAAGATTTAAGAAGGAAATGAAGGGTACCAAACTACCAATCCATCAAAAGATATATTTCAAATCCATAACAATTAAGTTCTTCTCCAGTTTCCATCGATAAGAAGCTTTCACCCATATGATATTATATTGATCTATAATAGCTTATCGTTGAAACTCACGGGTAAAACAAGATACGCCAACTCACCTAGTTGGAAATAGGGTTTGGACCACTAGGAACTTCATGAGCATCATTTGCAAACTCTCTCCGTCTAGAAGTGTGGCTGTGACGTGTGCGAGCCTTTGGATGCAGATCCATTGTTGATGAAGCTGGAACCGAAGGTTCGAGAAGAATCCTCTTAAAAAGAGCAACCGTTGATGTGGACTGGTTATGAGTCATAGGGATTGTAAGGTTGATGAAGAGAATGAAAGATAAGAATATGACGAGAAGAAGAGTATGAGAATGTGATGATCGAGTATTGGTTTGGTCATTTGATGTTGCCATGCAATTTAGAAAAAGAAATAACCCACCCCCCAAGATCCCAAGAGGGTTCAATATCCATTAACCAGAACGAACAACTCGGGAGCTGGTCAGAGCCGCAAGATAGCCGAAGAGAATAGAATAAGAAGAAGAAGATGAAAGAATGAGATGACACAAAAGAGAGATCTAGTAGTTAAGAAGAAAAATGAGCCTGAGAAAAGGAGAAAAAGGAAAAGGAAAGGAAGGAAGAGAGAGGTTCACATATTTTCACACACTCATGAATTTCATTAATAAAGTAAAACCAAAGATTTATGCAGAATAGTCACGAGGTATGAGATTACCAAATCGCCCTTTGTGCAAGCAGCGTATGAGAGAATGGACATATACGGTGAATTCAGACTTGGGTTTGAATAACGCAAGACAAGAAATGTTCTGATTTTCCTCACATATTACAATTTAGCCCCTGAAAAGACTTAAAATTGTCGGTAGGTATGCCACTGCAGAACGAGCAATCACATGAAAGAGGACAAAGCGTGTAATGGTAATTGAGTCATTAAGCGATTATCAACGAATCTTAAAAGCTTAGGCAAAAGGAAAAGGTGATAACATATATGAAAGGAGGGGAGGTGGAAGAAAGCGACGTGTATCAGTAGTAATAGTTAACGAGAAAATGCATATGATTAAACTAAGCATTTTTTTTGAACAAAAACTAAGCATTTTGTCATAAATTATGCATTAATTATTTCCCGATTGTGTGTGTAAGTCAAATTATATTATACCCTAATATCTACTCTATTAAAATAGAGTCCTATTTGAATTTACCTTCGCATGTTTTTTTTGAACCTATTAAACATGTTGTGTCTAATATTAAAACATGCTTCATATCTCTTTTATTGATAATGTATACGACTTTCATTAAAGATACAATTATCATCTAATTCTTAGACTATTTGACTGAACTAATATCAACATAACTCATATTCACGATTCTATAATTAACCTAATTCATACACAAATATTTTTGGATCAGTACCCGATTTTTCCAATCAGTTCTTCTATAGTAAAACAAAAATTCATTGTATTCGACTGTGTTTGTGCATCTCCTCATCATCTATCAACAATAGTGATTTGTTCTGTAGTAATATAGAAAAACCTTAGAAAGCTTTAAGGAATCGTCTTTGGGGTTTCTGGGTTCTCTTAGAATACAAACCTTTATGCTTACTGATTTCAACTATGATTACAACACGTTGGAGTCATCAATAGCGTCGAGATTATGCAGATTCATCACCAGAAATCACCCACGGATTACAACAGTTCCCTCGAGTGGCTAGAGCAGGCTGTAAACAAGGAGATGCTTCCACTGCAGTCAAGTTGCAGAGTGCCATAAAGTTAAAGGTGGAGGTGTTTTGAAATATTTTTAGTTTTTGATTTCGGTTCTGTTGTGTTTTCGTTTGTGTTTTGTTGCATCTCATAATAGGTAAATATAAAAGTTAGAGAAGTTACAGTCTTTTGATCAATCAAGTTGAGCTAAAGAAATTTAGTTATTAAGTTAGTCGATTTATTAATGAAATCTGGTTTTGACGATTAATTGTTGTGAGTACAGTCTGATTACCAGCAGGAGTTAATCTCTTGAGTGGATTCAAGGTTTGATTAGTAATGAAAGCTGGCTTAGGAGGTTAGAACCATGTATATACGATTGATAGTTGATAGAAACCCAAGAACAAATCAAGCTAAAGTTTTGGGTTTTATCTTTGGTTCTTGATGTTTCCCCAAGAAGCAATGGAGAACGAGGGGCTTTTTGTGTGCTAGAGAATGGAAGTCATCAACTTTATTACACATGTACAAGTGTTGTGAACCACCAATTTTTGGATGAACCTTGCTGCTGTCAACGTGAGTTTGTAGTCTCATTTTATATCTTTCCAATTATTGTTCTGTGCTTAATGGTGTGTGTTTGTGACATATTACAGCAAGGTCATGGAGTTTTTGGTGGCGCCATACACACTAAATTTGGTTCTGTAGAATGAGTGTTGAATGTATTGTTCTACAAGGTTCATGATATGTGTCAGTATTTAACTCTTCTAGATAGTAAGGAGTCCATATCAGTATGGAAAACTTACAAAAAAAAAAAATAATAACAGATCTCAAACTTGCTAGACCAAAAGTTATCCTAATCGAGTACATGTCTAATTTTTTTTTTGATGAAATTTTTAAATTTATTGATCAATTAAATAAAGACATTTACATAAGAAAAAAATAGACTAACTAGAACTGTAAAATGAATAGCTTTAGCTATAAAAGTGAAAAACTGTATCTTCCTAGCTGATAAGAGTTTCGTACATGAACAGATTTTAAAAACTGATAAATGGATTAGTTTAAATTGGGCCAATGGCTTAGAACTTTTTTGTAATGGTTTAGAAATTAATTTACCTTGATAGACTAAATATCTAAACTATATCAATCTTATTACGGATTAGGCTCGAACGTATCTCAACATTTTACAAAAAAAAAAAATTCTAATATTAAACATTTGTTTGATTAATTCTAATAATTAAATAACTAACTAAGCAAGAAGTAAACAAAAATTTATAAAATACATTTCTAATATTTTAATCATAGCAAAATTATTCTTAAACTAAACTAAAAATTTAAAATTAATAAAAGTAAAGCACAGTTAGTTAGAAATTTATTTACCCTTTTTAATTTTTAATATTATTTTTTGTCTATATTTACATCGTTGATTTTTTTTTTGTATCAAATATTCCAGTGACGAGTTCATATTTTAGAATAGACACTGTAAATAGTCTAATAAACATTCAATAACCACAAAACAAATTTACCTAACCCGATTTATAGAAGTGTAAAGTATGGTATACAAGCACAACTATTAAAAGTAATTAAGTCCAAGTATATTATTAGTCTTATATACAAAAAATTGCTGATGAAACAGTAGGTGATATCTCATTCATTTAAATCAAATTTTATATTTTGTAAGTTAAAATTTTAATACCTTTTTGTTTATATTTATAGGTTGACATTGCTCTTTATTCTTTTTGTCTACAAGAATATAAAATTTGATATATATACATGTATAGAAATATCATTATATCAAAACTTTAAAAACATTTAATAGATTATATAATATTTAAACTCACATTTAATAGATTATATAACATTATGAAAAAAAAAAAAAAATTTCCCCTCAATGTAAACTCAGTATATTGTTAAATAAAAAAAATATATACAGAAAAATAATATATGTTTAAAATTATGCAATATATAATAGCATAATCCACATAATATAAAACACCGTTATATCTCATAATAAATTAATAATAACACTATTAAAGTGAAACTTGCCGCGCATGGCGCGGGTCATATTCTAGTGATATTTATTTTCAAACTACGAATATATGTATTCTTTTTTTTTTTAACACTAGAGGATAAGATTATCATTAACACGAGGATTACACAGTTTTAAACTAAAACCAGCGAGTTATCAAAACTCCCGGAGATCTAGTCCAGCGGAAGAAGAACCATTCCATGGAAACATAATCCAACGGACAACAAGTCCTCGGAAACAACAACTTAGACCGAACCACATAAAACTCTGAAGAAGGAGAAGAAAAATCGAAAGAAAGAGAAGCTGATAAACGTAGACATCAAAGATAAAACTTTATTCAAGAGGATCAAGCCATCACTCATTATATTGCTCCTCATCGGAGCCATGAGTAGGATCGCATTGACACAACCAAGGAAAGCGCAGTGAAGAGACTGGTTTACCTAACGCCTTCGAAGATCTCGTCGAAATCGAACCGTTGCAGCAGATACCAAGATAAGCCCTCCTTTTCCAACTGATCATCTTCTCCGCACAGAGCGACCAAGATAAACACTAAATTGCAGAGGAATAGAACTGAGACAGGTACATGCAACCAAGAAATCGATGAAGAGGATCCTAAGGTCTAAAACACTAACAAATCAATACATGCACAAGGATCGGCAACTGCAACGAAGACTGGAACAGGATCGTTACTCGGTCGCAAAATATTCAGTCGCTAAATCGTTTATTTTTTAATTTATTTTTATAATTTTTTTAATAGTTTTTGTTCGAGTGAAGAGAAGAAGAAGGCTTGAAGCATATATATAGAAAAAATGGCCGACTAATTGGCGACTACAAACCGACTGCTGGGAAAAAAATTAGGTGCACTTAAAAAAATGTATAACACGTTTTATACCCGTTTTTAGCGACTGATTCGCGACTGCATGAGAATAGTGGTCGCAAAATAGTCGTTAGCTTGACGACTATTTGGAAACTGAATGAAGTGGTTCTTAAAAAAATTAGGTGCACTTAAAAAAATGTATAACACGTTTTATACCGTTTTTTAGCGACTAGATAGGAATAGCGGTCGCAAAATAGTCGTTAGATTGACGACTATTTGGCGACTGAATGATGGGGTCCCTAAGAAGCGACCGATTTATGACTGCAATCAGGTAGCCGCAAAGTAGTCGGATATCGGTCGCATTTTTGTGACTGATATGCGACTAATATATACCGACTTCTATATAGTCGCAGTTTAGTCGTTAAATTACCACTATTTGGCGACTCCACAATTCAGTCGCTAATAGACGAACGATTAACGACTTATTTTTTGTAGTCGCAGAATAGTCGCCAACTAGTCGGACTTGAGTCGCTAAATTTGGCGACTACACTATTAGTCGCAACTTGCAGTCGCTAGCACATGTTTTCTTGTAGTGTCCATCTCTGATCTGTAACCTTCTTAGACCATGAAGAACAAAAAAATATATGATCTGGCTGGCATTTGAATTTCTTATATAACAATAAAACTGGTTCCATATATCTGAAAAATACAAACTCATTAACATTCTTTTAATGCATAGTTCTTAGAATCAATGATTTTCATGATGCATATGATATGTAACCTCCATAAACAATGATGAATGGTCCATATGCTATGGAATGAAGATGAACACAACATAAACTATACAAACTCAGTAACGTTATATACTTTTGTAAAGCTACGGTTTTCAATGCTTTAAATAATGTTTCATATGCTATATATTGAAGAAGAACCAACAGAAAGATAACATGATTTGTCAAATACGTGATGAATGTTCCATAGGTGATTTGATTCAATATCAATTCATGATGAGTGCTTTAGAGATGCCCCATATCATATATAATAATGTTCATGAACCAACCAATACAAACGTATATCCACTACACTGGTTCATATAGTACATTTAAGATTTA